TCACTGAAGCACAGAGACGCTCCTGCTCTGAACGACAGAAAGCAAGCGAACGCTCAGTGTGATTACGGGACTCAACACATCCACACACAGAAATATCTCAAGATCTATAAGCTCAGTCTATTTTGAGCTCCATATAATGCACACAAACAAACACACACACACACACACACATTGCATAACGTGACAATTTGCATAAGTGTAAAACACACACCTACACACTCGTGTTTAACAAAGAGACAGAAACACAGGGGGAGGTAAAGAACGAGACACGAGACGAGAAACAGAGCAAGAGAACGTGCAGAAATACAGGATCAGACACACACACACAGATCTGGAGGTTTTACATGAATGAACACGACAACATTATATACATTACAGCCCAAAATAAGAGGAAGAGTTTAAATTAAATTGTGCATAAAGAAAACTAAGCCTATTTTTAGGACATTCAGATTTGTTGCATTGTGACTGTTTTTATGACAATTAAACATCATCATTACTGCAATGCATCTTTTGTTTTTTTTTTGCAACTCTAATTATTCTTTATAGTTATGCTACTAGTTTTTGCTGTGGTATTGAAGAAGGGTTCTTTTTTTTATGCTCATCTGAAAAATTATCTGATCTGATCCACAGTGAAACTCAACCGATGACTTTTTTTATTTGGGATAGTTAAATTCATTTTGGGCTACCAAAATCTAAAGAATGCCTGCGTGATTTAATGTATTAATATAGAGAATACTACAATGGTTGGATCATTTTAATTAGCGTTCAGCAAATGTTGATGTGCTAAATAATGAATAAATACTTGATTTAAATAATATACTGTATTCTTTGTTTCACATTAGCTTACCTAGAATATGAGGGTAAATGTGTTCAACTGTCAATGCAAAAAAAATTAAATGTATATTTGCAGGAAATATGAGCAATATGTTCTTGAAAGGGTTTGTGAGATTCACAAATTTTTTCATGAATTTCATGTCACTTCCTCTCTGGGCAGGAAATGAATATCCAATGTGTCATGATGACTCATTTATCAGTGTGTGTGTGTGTGTGTGTCTGTGTGTGTGTGTGTGTGTGAGTGTGTAAAAACTGATCATGATGGTCACAGGTGGAGCAGCCTCACACACACACACACACACACTCACGCACACACGCACACACACACACACACGCACTCACACTCACGCACACACACACACACACTCACTCACTCAAACACACACACACTCACGCACTCACACTCACACACTCACTCAAACTCACACACACACACACTCACGCACACACGCACTCTCTCACACACACACACACTCACGCACACACGCACTCACGCACTCACACTCACGCACACTCACACACTCACGAACACACGCACTCTCTCACACACACACACACACACACACACACTCACCGCACACACTCACGCACACACACACTCACGCACACACACACACACACACACTCACACTCATGCACGCACAGACACACACACGCACACTCACACTCACGCACACACACTCACAGTCACACACTCTCTCTCACACACACACACACACACACTCGCCATCAGAAACACATCTGAGAAGATTATCAGTTCCTGAACTAAAGCTGCTCTGATGAACATCACTAATGAAGGCACGTGTTCATTACTGATGCTCACATGATCATTATTCCATCTGTATCCACGGCAACACAAAATACTTATTACTATCATTACAATACAACTATTATTGCACTGATTAACCCAGTGCTCGACTAGACTGAGAATTCAGAGATCCTCACATTCAGACACACATCACACTGTTCAATCAGCACAAATAACAACAGCTTCATCTGAGGAATCAACTGAACAGGAGCATCGTGTGTTTGGATCAAGAACATCCATCAGTCTAGATGATGTGTTTTTGTATTCATGTGCATAGAGCAGTATTAAACCACCGCTGAATCTGCTACATCATGTACCTCTCTAATTTAATACTGAAAAATAACTCAAATAAATTCAGCAATAAACATGATTCCATATACAGTATATACTATTGTTTAAAAGTTTAGAAACTAATAAATGTATTCATCAAGGACGCATTAAATTGCTCAAAAGTGACAGTAAATTTCTTGAGCAGCAAATCAGCATATTATACTGATTTCTGAAGATCATGTGACGCTGAAGACTGCAGTAATGATGCTGAAAATACAGCTTTTGATGCTCAGTCTGGTTTAATAGCAGGATTGGTTCAGAACTGAACCACTGACACCACTGTCTGCAGCTGATCTAATATTAATGTGGCCTTAACTCACACTCACAGCAGCCGCAGGACTTCACCGACCCGAAGACGTTCTGTGAGCTTAAAGCAGACGCTTCAGTTCGACCAGAATAACAGAACCATGAGAAAGAGAGAGAGATTCACTGACCCGAAACACCTCGCTCTGATCTTCACTGCAATTAGCACACGCCTTTAATGAGAAGAAACCATTCAAACTGAAAAGAGAGAGAAAGAGAGCATGTGTGTGTGAGAGAGAGAGCGAGTGAGTGAGAGTGAGAGTGTGTGTGTGTGTGTGTGTGTGTGTGTGAGTGAGTGAGTGAGTGAGTGAGTGAGTGTGTGTGTGTGTGTGTGTGTGTGGGTGTGTGTGTGGGAGAGTGTGTGAGTGAGTGAGAGTGTGTGTGTGTGTGTGTGTGTGTGTGTGAGTGAGTGAGTGAGTGAGTGAGTGAGTGTGTGTGTGTGTGTGTGTGTGTGGGTGTGTGTGTGGGAGAGTGTGTGAGTGAGTGAGAGTGTGTGTGTGTGTGTGTGTGTGTGTGTGAGTGAGTGAGTGAGTGAGTGAGTGAGTGTGTGTGTGTGTGTGTGTGTGTGGGTGTGTGTGTGGGAGAGTGTGTGAGTGAGTGAGAGTGTGTGTGTGTGTGTGTGTGTGTGTGTGAGTGAGTGAGTGAGTGAGTGAGTGAGTGTGTGTGTGTGTGTGTGTGTGTGGGTGTGTGTGTGGGAGAGTGTGTGAGTGAGTGAGAGTGTGTGTGTGTGTGTGTGTGTGTGTGTGAGTGAGTGAGTGAGTGAGTGAGTGAGTGTGTGTGTGTGTGTGTGTGTGTGGGTGTGTGTGTGGGAGAGTGTGTGAGTGAGTGAGAGTGTGTGTGTGTGTGTGTGTGTGTGTGTGTGTGTGTGATCTAGACCAAGGTCGGAGGGCTGAGTTATTAGCTCTATTGATCCAGCAGTAGAATTGGGCTCCCAAACCTACAACAACAACTCAACAGCTGTGAAACCCCTCAAACGGAGCCCTGTTATCATCCTATCCTGCTAAAAACACAAGCCACTGCTGTTCACTTAGCATGCTTTTGCTTAGTCTTCACTCTAGAGTAAGAGCAGTCAAAGAGCAGCGTCCCCACTGGACCAATCAACATCCAGAGATCACGAGAAACTGATCCCGCTGCCCACACAGAGCCAATCAGGATAAAACAGATGGAAACTTTACTGACACAATCACACACTGTAATCTCAAAGTGTAACAGAAAACTACACTCTTAAAAAAAAGGTTCTTTATTGGCATTGATGAAGAACCTTCTCATTTGTGGGAGCTTTCTGTTATACAAAAGGTCCTTTATAGTGGAAAATGGTTCTTTAGATTATTCAAATGTCCTTCAGACTAAGACAAATGTGGTTCTTTTAAAAACGGTCTACTGAAAGCTTCTTCAGGGAACCAAAAATGGTTCTATTTCATCACAGCAAAAAAAAAAAAACTTTTGCAACCACTATCACTAATTGTATCCCTTAAATGTTTTAAATTTTCAAAATTAAATATTTAAATGTTTTTTCAAGTGTAAATTACTTCTACATACGTTTAAAAAGCTTGAATATAACTCTACACCTGTACCTCATTTAGTATGCACAGAGCTATGAATATGTAAATTAGTCCCCGCCTTCAGCCAATCACAGCAGCTCTGTCTGCAACTGAAGGAGTAAACACTACACAATGGCAAGCAGTAATAATGGATTAATTCAGCCGAACATGTACAACGTTTTTGGTTCTCTGCAGATTAAAGGAGAAAATGCTCAGCAATGCTGTTGACTGATGAATGTGCGCATGCTCTGTCTCGAAGCATATTAAAAAACACCAGACAGACACAGAAACATTGTGATTTTCACCGCAGGGGGACTTTAAGACTGTTGTCGCCCCATGAGGCTTTGTGCGAATTATGAGAGTAATTTCTGTTAAACTCTAAACAATCAGTAAGATATTTGCTCTATTTTTGTTACAGTTGTTACATTGTTGTTGATTGATCACAATCCAAGATCAGAAAACAGCCAGAATAAAACCGAACTCAACCAGAGTCGCCTCTGCTCTTTTTATTTCTTACCATTAACAATGTTCAAACTGAAATGTATTATTAAGTGTAAAAGAGAGAATCTTTTTTTTTTCCTTTATGAGCCTCCTTGAGTCTGAAAAGGTTAAAAATGAACATAAGTATTAAATTCAGAATGGAACTGTGATGCATTTCTGAGTCAAACAAGATATTTATTTTTTAAATTCTTTAACACTTATCTCACATCCGCGAATCTGAAAGTTGTTTTCACAAATGATCAGGATGGATATTTAGAGTAAACCGAAATAAAACGAAGATGACATAAATACATATTTTAAGATGTCAGATTAATTCATAATTTCAATAAATAAAAAAACGAATGCATATTTTTAAATTAAAAAATAAATATATCTATTAAACATTTAAAATTCAAATAAATAAATTTTGATTACTTGTGGAACATTTATGTATAGTATATTTTAATACTTAATTTATACAGAATAACTAAAACATATAGAGATCATAAGACCAAATCAAAGACAAATTACCATATTAACATAAATGTTTGAGTGTGTGTGTGTGTGTGTCTGTGTGTGTGTCTGTGTGTGTGTGTGTATGTGGACTGGTTCTGTGCGCCACGACGCCTCATAAAATGGTTTATCCATTGATGCACTGTGATCAGATGAATGAAAAAGTTTGAGCGATCATTTTCTGAACTCACCTTTATTTGTGTCATTAAAGTTGGATGTGTCGAGATGATCCTGCACGAGTCTCTCAGTGAACGGACTGTCCGATACGATTGCGCTCCAGTGCGTTCAAACGTGCGCAAACCAACACAGACTCTTCAGACAGAGATATTCCTCCAGAACACTCCACGAGACCAACCCATTCACGTTCTTCAGCAGCTCTGCTTGCACGCGCTCCTCGCGCTGATCTGTGGGAACGCGTTCAGGAACGCTCTTCAGACGCGTTTCCCTCGAATCCATCAGACGCGCACCGAGGCTCCGTCTCCATTCATCTGCTGCTCCAGAAGACGCATGAATACGATCGCATGCCCAGTGTGTGTCGCGTGGGTTCCGGAGGCTGTTGCATCACCTGAGCGCGCGCACCACTGCCTCAGGTGATTCGGTAGAAGCGAGACTGTGTTGCACATTCCGAAGCGCTTCAATAAACGTGTCTGTAAGCTGTAAGAACATGCCACTGTCTCAAAACCTTGTGTGCTTCCTACCTAGACAGCATTTCTAGCGCGCGTCAGAAGCGCGCACAGGGCGTAATCTTCCATTTATATATATATTTATATACATATACATACACACACACTCTCACTCTCACACACACTCACACACACACACACACACACACTCACACACACACACTCTCTCACTCTCACACTCTCTCACTCTCACTCACACACACACTCACACACACACACACTCTCACTCTCTCACACACACTCACACACACACACTCTCTCACTCTCACACTCTCTCACTCTCACTCACACACACACTCACACACACACACACTCTCACTCTCTCACACACACTCACACACACACACTCTCTCACTCTCACACTCTCTCACTCTCACTCACACACACACTCACACACACACACACTCTCACTCTCTCACACACACTCACACACACACACTCTCTCACTCTCACACTCTCTCACTCTCACTCACACACACACTCACACACACACACACTCTCACTCTCTCACACACACTCACACACACACACTCTCTCACTCTCACACTCTCTCACTCTCACTCACACACACACTCACACACACACACACTCTCACTCTCTCACACACACTCACACACACACACTCTCTCACTCTCACACTCTCTCACTCTCACTCACACACACACTCACACACACACACACTCTCACTCTCTCACACACACTCACACACACACACTCTCTCACTCTCACACTCTCTCACTCTCACTCACACACACACTCACACACACACACACTCTCACTCTCTCACACACACTCACACACACACACTCTCTCACTCTCACACTCTCTCACTCTCACTCACACACACACTCACACACACACACACTCTCACTCTCTCACACACACTCACACACACACACTCTCTCACTCTCACACTCTCTCACTCTCACTCACACACACACTCACACACACACACACTCTCACTCTCTCACACACACTCACACACACACACTCTCTCACTCTCACACTCTCTCACTCTCACTCACACACACACTCACACACACACACACTCTCACTCTCTCACACACACTCACACACACACACTCTCTCACTCTCACACTCTCTCACTCTCACTCACACACACACTCACACACACACACACTCTCACTCTCTCACACACACTCACACACACACACTCTCTCACTCTCACACTCTCTCACTCTCACTCACACACACACTCACACACACACACACTCTCACTCTCTCACACACACTCACACACACACACTCTCTCACTCTCACACTCTCTCACTCTCACTCACACACACACTCACACACACACACACTCTCACTCTCTCACACACACTCACACACACACACTCTCTCACTCTCACACTCTCTCACTCTCACTCACACACACACTCACACACACACACACTCTCACTCTCTCACACACACTCACACACACACACTCTCTCACTCTCACACTCTCTCACTCTCACTCACACACACACTCACACACACACACACTCTCACTCTCTCACACACACTCACACACACACACTCTCTCACTCTCACACTCTCTCACTCTCACTCACACACACACTCACACACACACACACTCTCACTCACACACTCTCTCACTCACACACACACTATCTCTCTCACTCTCACTCACTCACTCACACACACACACACTCTCACTCTCACTCACACACACACACACACACTCTCTCACTCTCACTCACACACACACACACACACTATCTCTCACTCACACTCACACACACACACATCATGAGGACGTTCCAAGAACATTGTTCTAAGAACATTTCCTCTGAACCTTATAAGAATGTATTTCAAATATTAATAATGTTATAAGAACGTTCCATAAACATTATTTTAGGGATGTTTTTGTCCAAACATTTACATAGTCATTGTAATATTAGGGACATGTGGAGACATTTCTACTTTCATTATCTATACTTTTAGGAATTAATCATTAACTATGGATTAAAGTAAACCAAAAATGAAAAATGTCACCATTTACTGTATTCGTCTTCATGTCATTGCAAAAACGGATCACATTATTCTTCAGTGGAGAAGTTCTGAAGAATCGTCACATAGCTCATTTGACAAAAGGATGTCTGTCAACCTCCAAAAATGGTATGAATGTATCATAACAGTAATCCATATGATTAATGCACTATATTTCAAATCTTCTGAAGCCAAATGTCTCACATTTCAGTCTATTCTTCACACTAAACATCTGATTCCTTCAGAGAAGTACAGAGAAGAGATGCAATAAGTTCTTCAAAAGGAACAAAACAACAACATACGGGTTTGGAGTGGCATGAGGGTGAGTGAATGATGACAGAACGATCATTTTGTGAAAGAAAGTCTAATGTTTTCCACTCCTCAACTCAAATCATTCCTTCACTGTGCATGCACTGTCAAAACAGATTATTGGAGTACATATTATACATAAAAAATGTCAGTCTTTCTACTTAAATCTTTCACGTTTAATTCAATGGATTACTTGTTGTTTCTTTGTAATTGTGAAATTTCCAAGCGAAACTGTTTGACAGTAAATCCTGCATCGACTGAATTCAGAGTCAACAGATGAAGCTCAGAGACGCTCGCTGATTCTCTCTCACACACACTTTAATAAACATGTTCATTAAGTGCTTTTGACACCAAACACAACAGCCAGATCAATTACATAATCATTCAAACAAAACAATAATGCCACTCTGATTCCAGACTGAAGGGATTTATTGTATCTCCTCAGACTGCAGACAGAACAGCTTGATTACATGTGTTCAATCATATCAAGGCCAGCACTCACCTACGCATCAAATATTCAGCTGATCTGAAGGAATCATCAAATATAAATCAGCAGAAAGATTCGCTTCACTGAGAGTAATAAGAGTCTATATTCTTTTAATCAGATCATTGTCACTGATGACTCTTACAGGATGTGTTTTATAAAGCAGCAGTGGAATAAATCCATAAACGCATTGATATATTAAGCTGTTAATCAATATTTCTCAGCTGCAGTAAACAGACAGGAGCGAGACGGTCTGTGTTGAGATGTGTGATATTGATCCGTTTACACACCACCGGCACAACATCAGTGTTAAAACCAGAACACTGGACACGATCAAACAATTACTGCACTGACATTTTTTTTTTGTATTGTTTTAGAAAACATTTTCACTCAGAAATTGCTAGTCAATTTCACAAACAGTTACACAAAAACAGCAATAACGCAATTGAATTAAACATGAAATTCTGAAGTCGAAAAACTGAAAGTGTTTTGTTTTTGTTTGTTTTTGAGTTTTATGCATTATGATTCTGAGGCTGAGATTTAATAAGTGACAAAAACACTTTCTGTATGTAACAATTCTAGCATTATTGATCAAATCATAAGAGCTATGCAGGAACAAAGCATTTTAATGAAGTTCATCTATTCATCTCAGCAGGTGTTAATTATAGTTTACAGACTTCATCAACATGCTGCTGACAGACGATCACATCAGCATCAGCACAACACACAGACGCATGAGCAGCTGCTGCAGACGCTGACGGAGCAGGTGTCTGCGCATGTGTCTGCAGGTGTCTGTGTGTGTGTGTGTGTGTGTGTGTGTGTGTGTGTGTGTGTGTGTGTGTGTGTGTCTGCAGGCGTCTGTATCTGTATGCTTGTGTCTGCTGGTGTCTGTGTGTATGTATGTGTGTGTCTGCAGGTGTCTGTGTCTGTATGCTTGTGTCTGCTGGTGTCTGTGTGTGTGTGTGTGTGTGTGTGTGTGTGTGTGTGTGTGTCTGCAGGCGTCTGTATCTGTATGCTTGTGTCTGCTGGTGTCTGTGTGTATGTATGTGTGTGTCTGCAGGTGTCTGCATCTGTATGCTTGTGTCTGCAGGTGTCTGTGTCTGTATGTTTGTGTCTGCTGGTGTCTGTGTGTGTGTGTGTGTGTGTGTGTGTGTGTCTGCAGGTGTCTGCGTCTGTATGCACGTGTCTGCGTCTGTATGCATGTGTCTGCGTCTGTATGCACGTGTCTGCAGGTGTCTGCGTCTGTATGCATGTGTCTGCATGTCTGTGCATGTGTCTGCAGGTGTCTGTGTGTATGTATGTGTGTGTCTGCAGGCGTCTGTGTGTATGTATGTGTGTGTCTGCAGGCGTCTGTGTGTATGTATGTGTGTGTCTGCAGGCGTCTGAGCATGTCTGCAGGTGTCTGTGTGTGTGTGTGTGTGTGTGTGTGTGTGTGTGTGTCTGCAGGTGTCTGTATGCTTGTGTCTGCAGGCGTCTGAGCATGTCTGCAGGTGTCTGCGTCTGTATGCACGTGTCTGCGTCTGTATGCATGTGTCTGCACGTGTCTGTGCATGTATGTGCGTGTGACTGCGTCTGTATGTGCATGTCTGCAGGTGTCTGTATGCTTGTGTCTGCATGCATGTTTAATTATCACTGACTTTATCTGGGAATGGCGAATGTTGCTGCTCCGAAAACGTGAATTTAAACCCCACTCTTCAAGTAACTACTCTATATTACTACTTTAATCCGAGCAAGATTTAGAATTGACTTTCAGAAATTAAATTAGTCAATTACCAACTAAATAAACTAGTAGCACATAAAGCCTTGCAATAAATTTCAGTCCATTATCCGCCATAGCATTGCTTTGTGATGTAAAATTTGAGGCACATTCACTCATTCTTTCTCTTCTTCTCACAACAAACTTACACTCGTCCTTTTTTTTTGGAACCTTCCTTGCCTGAATGGTTAAAAGCACGAGTAAAAATCCCCTGCATGTCTGTCTGTGTTGTGAATGTAGACAGACAGAGTCGAGGACTAAAGCAGCGCTGATGGTCAACTGATCAGTGGATGGGTTGGTGCTCCTCTCCTTCACGGGTTTGTGTTCTCAAATAAACCAAATCAACATGAAAATATAATCCCCGTCCACCAGTTCATTTGCCTGGTTTGGCCTCCAAAACAAACTTTTTTAAACTTCCCACCTGTTGCGTTTAAACCTCCTGATCAGTCACGTGACTGCAAAGAGCCGCAGGAGTTTGTTTGTTTGTTTGTTTGAATAGCCAGCTAACACGTTCACATAACTTTCACTCACTCCAAAGGTTGCCAATGTAAATGTAAGGACAAAATATTCTTAAAAAATGTTTATGGAACGTTATTGTTATTTGATATAAGTTCTCATAATATTGACAGAACATTCTTAGAATAAAGTTCTTATGATGTTATTATTTTTGCTGAATGTTTTTGGAATGTTAGCAGAAAGCATTGCAACGATGTTCATGGAAATTGCAGCGATAGGATGATTGCATGCAGGGTGCGGTGCGCATGCGCAGTGTGTGAGTCGAGTCAGTAAAGGTGCTTGCTGTGGCACACATTGCTCTCCTGTCAGTTCCTTAGAGAGATTAATATAATATCACAAAAACAAATATTATGTTCTTAATAGAAAATGTTCTTAGAACATATTTTGTTAGCCGAGTAGAGATTACAATTATCCCACGATTCTGAAGAAAAATGTTGATTACAAAACCTGAACATTAAGCATTTAATGCTGAACATTAAACAAAATAATGTTGTTTTTTATGTAATTTATTAGAGGTTTTGACTAAATGTTCCTTGCATTAGTCTGTTTTTAAAAAATGCAATAACTAAAAGTAAATAATTAATTTAAATGAAAATATAAATATCACCATATTAGAATTGCACATTAACAACAGGGAAAAAGACAAATGAAACATTACTAATGAGTCAAAATTGTAATTAAAAAATGTTATGTACAGATGTTTACTGATTAATATTTATTTATTCACTCATTGAACTTTAGTCATTCAATAACTCACTGATAACGATTCTAAATGAATGAGAAATGAAGCTGATCTTCACACTGCATCGATGTTTTCATTTGTATCTAAATCATTTCAGAACTGTATCTCAGCAGAAATTAATTAAATTACAAATGGACAGTTTTAAAGCCAAAGTTTGGGGTCGTTCATAAATCATCTCATACTGGACACACACTGCAGATGTCCTCCTGCTTCATGACCGATGAACAAATACAGACTCTGAAGCACAGTAGCATCAGATGCTTTCAGAGCCAGTTTAACCAGATGAGTCCAGAGTCACACGGACCGGATTCGTGACACACACATGACCGATACAGCCAATCAGAAAGCAGCTTTTGTTTCCATGCCGAAAGTCATGACTGACATACAACATAAGATTGTAAGAGTGTTGACAGGATTCATGTGTCAGCTGAGACACGTGTCAGTCACAGAGAAGATAAGCATTAAACCAGAACACTTTAAACACACACACGTCATATGAACGACATGAGCATGCAAAGTTTCACTCACACTCTTGAAAATAACGATTCCAACAGCAATACCACAGAAGAATCATTCTGGTTCCCAAAGAACGTTGAATGTTAAGGATTCATGAAACCATCAATGGCATTAACCTTTATTTTTAAGAATGCCCTGTTTCTCGCTGTGGTCTTGTGGTTTTCTGTGTGTGTGTGTGTGTGTGTGTGTCTGTGTCTGTGTGTGTGTGTGTGTGTGTGTGTGTGTGTTTCTCTATGTGTATGTATGTGTGTGTGTGTGTGTGAGTGAGTGTGTGTGTGTGTGTGTGTGTGTGTGT